TTCGGAAGATGTTGCAATCAATTATTGTAAGACACGTATCTGTCATATGGTGGAGTCAGGGGTTATAAGGCGTTGGACTATGTCCCAGTGCAATGTGCTGATTCTTGAAATATGGCATCACTTGAAACTTCAAAGTTTTATGTCAAGAGTTACCTTCGGTAGAACCTTCTCAAACTTGCTACACAGTACCATTATTAGGTTATGATAGCATAACCATCGAATACAGGGCAAGTCCAGTGTCAAATACTTGTGGGCGGGGCTAATATGTGGGACGTGTGCGCTGAAATGGGATGATTCCGAAAAGAAAAAAAAGGTCACCTTCTAGCAGATTTCTACCCACATCTACAGCTTATGCTGATATTTAGCAAGTATACTACTGTCCTGATGTTGGACATCAAGAGAAAGGGGGTAACTACCAGTGCTACGGCCAAAAAAGTGGTTTTCCGGTATTTTTTGGCCTAAATTGGCAATTGTGAGTATGCTATGTTTGGCCCCTCCCCCGAGTGAAACCGGCCGGTAGAACTTGATAAAAATTTGTCTCCGTACACTAGATATCCAACGAAACAAAGTACAATCGTTTGTAGCCACGTTTCCAACAAAAACAAAATTAGACGCGAGGGGTAGGAGCCACCTTAATTCATCGTTAAGGCTGCATTCACACACGATACAAAAATTCGCGTTTACATGACCGTACAAGCCACTTGCAACGCCTGTGCATTCACGCAGTCAAATGCAGTGCATGCCAAACACGTAAAAAGTGACCGCTTTGTAAAATCGCCTACTGGTCTCGTCATCGTCCAGTGACAATCGACATTCTTTGTTCCGTTGGGACTGTAGCTTGTGCTCGTTTTCGTTGCGCTTGCCTTCCCCTCTTTGGTCTTTCCATAACCTTGAACCTTCCAAGTTGGAAGGCTGTCGGTTAGCGCTACGGAGATGTGTTGAACCTAGGTGTCAGGACGTCGAATGTCTCAGTACTCTGTCAGTTTTGTGCCCAGTTGTTGCACTTTCTGACTGTATAGTATCTAGTTACAGTGGTGGAGAGTTACTCAGTATCTAGTTACAGTGGTGGAGAGTTACTCTTAACTCGTTTCCATATGTCCTTTACCTTTCTACATTTATTATTGGCTCAATACCCGAGTTTCAAATCGCATATTATTGGTACTACTACTTTCTTGTTTTTTTTCCGGTCGGAGGCAAAAAGGTACGCGGGCGCGGACGTTAAACAACGAAAAAAGAAAGGGTGGCCTTACCACAAAAGCAGAAAAGAGCAGAGACAGCCGGCTGTCTCTGTTCTCTTCTGCCTTTGTGTACACGTACATGTACATGTACATAATGTGTACCATTATGTACATGTGCAATAAAGTAAATAATTTTACTTTAGAAGTAGGATACACTTCAGGCTCAAAATTTTGAACGTTTTCACTAGCATTCATTCATGCCTTATCATCAGGTAAATCGCAGGCAAATCAAAATGAACATGGACAATGGATTAAATACTGCAGAGAGGTGACAGAAGCAGCGCAAGGAAGAAGAGCCAAAACAACAGTGTCAAATGCGTAGGGTCCAGCGGATTCTGCCGGCAGAAAAATTGGCAGAATTCGGTTCTTTTTCTGGTAAGTTTCATGCATGTTTGGTACATTTATTTATTTATTTATTCAACATCTTATGGCTTCCGATGGCAGCCAAAACGGGAAGATGTGGGTGATAGCCAACCATGGTAAAAGAAGGAGAAGATTATATACATGAAAAGGAAACAGCCGAAAAGCTATATTGATTAGTTTTTACTTGCAAGTATTATTATTATGGTGCACTCAGTCATCAGCAGGCCCTCAGATTCACTTTAAATTCTTTCAATGATGCAGAAGTCTTCACTGAGTCGGGAAGTTGTAGCCATGCACAGTAGCCCTGGAAGAATGGCGATCTTGTGAATTGCGTTGACTTGGCCTTGGGAAGAGAAACTTTGTTTCTGGTTGAGCGGCCCGAAACAAACCAGTTATAAGGCTTTATATGTTCAGGAACACAACCCAAGAGCATTCGATGAACCAATATACAGAGGCAAGTTAGTCGGCGTTGCTCTAACGGAGTAGTCTGAGCTAATAAGTACACCTCATTGGAGGGAAAGGAAGGTTTCTTCGAGAACAAAATTTTTAGAACTTTCTTATGATGAACTTCAATGGAATCGGATAAGACCTTAGCTAGGCCACACCAGGCTGTGGCAGCATATTCAAACAATGGAAGGAGATAAATTTTATATATAGCGGAACGGCACGGAATAGAGAGATGTTTACAATGACTTTTAATATAGCCAAGAGCACGGCTGACTTTATTACAAATGTAATCTACATGAGCCGACCAGGACATGGATGAATCGAACATTACCCCTAGGTGTTTGTGCTCCTTTACCGTCTGAATTTCTGTGGGTGAATTGGGAAAGGTACATGTTTGTGGATAAAGAAATGGAGCAGAATTCGAGGAATTTCCCGCCATAAGGTTTGTATGGTTCTGCCAATTTTTCTGCTTTTCGAGCAGAATCTGCCACCTTTTCGAGCAGAATCCGCCGGTCCCTACAAATGCGTAACCCATGCACATAGAAAGTCGTGGGGAAAAGGTGCAAGTGTGAAAGTCTACTAATGAAAACTTTCAAAACGTTGAGCCTGACGTTTGTGTGGCTAAATCATAAGGCCTCTTTTACGGGCAAACAGAATACAATTGACAGTGGCATGGCGAATGATTAGAACACAACACCAAAAAATGAAAACATTTGTATATGTGAAAAAAGCGCAAAAAAACGAGAGAAAAAAGAAAAAACCTGAAATATACAAAAATAATCTACGTGGAGATACATGTAATAATTTTAATATAGCTATGAATAGGATGAAGGCCGCAGACATCACGCAATTACGTTACTTGTTTGACAAGTATTTACTGTGTATTTTATAACAAAAAATATTATTGAAAACCCATAATCGATTTTCTTGTTCCTATCATCAGTGGGAAAAAAACTTCAGTTTCTTTGGTTGTATCCTTAGTTCCGTATTTTTTCCCACTGATGATAGGAACAAGAAAATCGATTATGGGTTTTCAATAATATTTTTGTTATAAAATACACAGTAAATACATGTCAAACAAGTAACGTAGTTGCGTGATGTCTGCGGCCTTCATCCTATTCATAGCTAGACTGTACATGTATACATTAAAAAACCTGAAGTTTGTCCTACTTCCAGGTACATGTACATGTACAGGTACATGTATACAGTAATTACATGTACATGTACATTCTTGTCTCCAAGTAAATTGTGCAATGAAGTATTTTCCGCTGATTTTCTGGACGACAGTGCAGTGCTGTACCCGTCCGAACCCGAGAATTCTTGGGACCGCCAAGTAACAAGTTAGTTGAACAACATTCCCGATGGCGATGTGATCTGGAGTGTCAAGGTCACAGTGATCTCCTTCACTGCTGCTGGTGAACTCCTTGATATCCGTTACTATGCGAGTATGCGTACATGTATGAGCCTATCAGTGCCAACCGGCATGGAGGCGTACCCCGGGGAGGGTCCTTGTACATGTACCGTAAAGTACCGCCAGAGCGCCCCACCATCTCATCCTTTCGTGGTCGTATTGTGGAGGTGATTTTGAGTTGGGTGCTCGCAATGCTGGCTTTGGAGCGCCGTATCGCGCTGCGGCGCTGGTTCTGTGGATCGAGTGATGGATTGCTGGCTATCGCTGTGTTCCTCTGGCCAAGAGCTTTCCAGAAAGCCCGGATCACCAAAATCGGCCAAAGGACACCAAAGTTACGACCAGATAAGTAACTGGGCTCGCGTATGCAGTGTATTTCTTGAAATAATTGTGGGCCCCAAAGGGTTATTAACCAAGATACACAATTCGAGAGAATTCCGAGAATTCTTGGGACCGCCAAGTAACAAGTTAGTTGAACAACATGCCTGATGTCGGTGTGATCTGGAGTGTCAAGCCTCAAGGTCACAGTGATCTCCTTCACTGCTGCTGGTGAACTCCTCCATATCCCTTACGCTGCAGCTTTCCAGCGGCTATTCACGCCAGTCTGAACGCGCCCTTACTATGCGTATGAGCCTGTCAGTGCCAACCGGCATGGAGGTACCCCGGGGAGGGTCCTTGTACATGTCATGTATTTTCCCATGTACATGTACATGTACAGTAGTAGTAGTAGTAGTAGTAGTAGTAGTAGTAGTAGTAGTAGTAGTAGTAGTAGTAGTAGTAGTAGTAGTAGTAGTAGTAGTAGTAGTAGTAGTAGTAGTAGTAGTAGTAGTAGTAGTAGTAGTAGTAGTAGTAGTAGTAGTAGTAGTAGTAGTAGTAGTAGTAGTAGTAGTAGTAGTAGTAGTAGTAGTAGTAGTAGTAGTAGTAGTAGTAGTAGTAGTAGTAGTAGTAGTAGTAGTAGTAGTAGTAGTAGTAGTAGTAGTAGTAGTAGTAGTAGTAGTAGTAGTAGTAGTAGTAGTAGTAGTAGTAGTAGTAGTAGTAGTAGTAGTAGTAGTAGTAGTAGTAGTAGTAGTAGTAGTAGTAGTAGTAGTAGTAGTAGTAGTAGTAGTAGTAGTAGTAGTAGTAGTAGTAGTAGTAGTAGTAGTAGTAGTAGTAGTAGTAGTAGTAGTAGTAGTAGTAGTAGTAGTAGTAGTAGTAGTAGTAGTAGTAGTAGTAGTAGTAGTAGTAGTAGTAGTAGTAGTAGTAGTAGTAGTAGTAGTAGTAGTAGTAGTAGTAGTAGTAGTAGTAGTAGTAGTAGTAGTAGTAGTAGTAGTAGTAGTAGTAGTAGTAGTAGTAGTAGTAGTAGTAGTAGTAGTAGTAGTAGTAGTAGTAGTAGTAGTAGTAGTAGTAGTAGTAGTAGTAGTAGTAGTAGTAGTAGTAGTAGTAGTAGTAGTAGTAGTAGTAGTAGTAGTAGTAGTAGTAGTAGTAGTAGTAGTAGTAGTAGTAGTAGTAGTAGTAGTAGTAGTAGTAGTAGTAGTAGTAGTAGTAGTAGTAGTAGTAGTAGTAGTAGTAGTAGTAGTAGTAGTAGTAGTAGTAGTAGTAGTAGTAGTAGTAGTAGTAGTAGTAGTAGTAGTAGTAGTAGTAGTAGTAGTAGTAGTAGTAGTAGTAGTAGTAGTAGTAGTAGTAGTAGTAGTAGTAGTAGTAGTAGTAGTAGTAGTAGTAGTAGTAGTAGTAGTAGTAGTAGTAGTAGTAGTAGTAGTAGTAGTAGTAGTAGTAGTAGTAGTAGTAGTAGTAGTAGTAGTAGTAGTAGTAGTAGTAGTAGTAGTAGTAGTAGTAGTAGTAGTAGTAGTAGTAGTAGTAGTAGTAGTAGTAGTAGTAGTAGTAGTAGTAGTAGTAGTAGTAGTAGTAGTAGTAGTAGTAGTAGTAGTAGTAGTAGTAGTAGTAGTAGCAGTAGCAGTAGCAGTAGCAGTAGCAGTAGCAGTAGCAGTAGCAGTAGCAGTAGCAGTAGTAGTAGTAGTAGTAGTAGTAGTAGTAGTAGTAGTAGTAGTAGTAGTAGTAGTAGTAGTAGTAGTAGTAGTAGTAGTAGTAGTAGTAGTAGTAGTAGTAGTAGTAGTAGTAGTAGTAGTAGTAGTAGTAGTAGTAGTAGTAGTAGTAGTAGTAGTAGTAGTAGTAGTAGTAGTAGTAGTAGTAGTAGTAGTAGTAGTAGTAGTAGTAGTAGTAGTAGTAGTAGTAGTAGTAGTAGTAGTAGTAGTAGTAGTAGTAGTAGTAGTAGTAGTAGTAGTAGTAGTAGTAGTAGTAGTAGTAGTAGTAGTAGTAGTAGTAGTAGTAGTAGTAGTAGTAGTAGTAGTAGTAGTAGTAGTAGTAGTAGTAGTAGTAGTAGTAGTAGTAGTAGTAGTAGTAGTAGTAGTAGTAGTAGTAGTAGTAGTAGTAGTAGTAGTAGTAGTAGTAGTAGTAGTAGTAGTAGTAGTAGTAGTAGTAGTAGTAGTAGTAGTAGTAGTAGTAGTAGTAGTAGTAGTAGTAGTAGTAGTAGTAGTAGTAGTAGTAGTAGTAGTAGTAGTAGTAGTAGTAGTAGTAGTAGTAGTAGTAGTAGTAGTAGTAGTAGTAGTAGTAGTAGTAGTAGTAGTAGTAGTAGTAGTAGTAGTAGTAGTAGTAGTAGTAGTAGTAGTAGTAGTAGTAGTAGTAGTAGTAGTAGTAGTAGTAGTAGTAGTAGTAGTAGTAGTAGTAGTAGTAGTAGTAGTAGTAGTAGTAGTAGTAGTAGTAGTAGTAGTAGTAGTAGTAGTAGTAGTAGTAGTAGTAGTAGTAGTAGTAGTAGTAGTAGTAGTAGTAGTAGTAGTAGTAGTAGTAGTAGTAGTAGTAGTAGTAGTAGTAGTAGTAGTAGTAGTAGTAGTAGTAGTAGTAGTAGTAGTAGTAGTAGTAGTAGTAGTAGTAGTAGTAGTAGTAGTAGTAGTAGTAGTAGTAGTAGTAGTAGTAGTAGTAGTAGTAGTAGTAGTAGTAGTAGTAGTAGTAGTAGTAGTAGTAGTAGTAGTAGTAGTAGTAGTAGTAGTAGTAGTAGTAGTAGTAGTAGTAGTAGTAGTAGTAGTAGTAGTAGTAGTAGTAGTAGTAGTAGTAGTAGTAGTAGTAGTAGTAGTAGTAGTAGTAGTAGTAGTAGTAGTAGTAGTAGTAGTAGTAGTAGTAGTAGTAGTAGTAGTAGTAGTAGTAGTAGTAGTAGTAGTAGTAGTAGTAGTAGTAGTAGTAGTAGTAGTAGTAGTAGTAGTAGTAGTAGTAGTAGTAGTAGTAGTAGTAGTAGTAGTAGTAGTAGTAGTAGTAGTAGTAGTAGTAGTAGTAGTAGTAGTAGTAGTAGTAGTAGTAGTAGTAGTAGTAGTAGTAGTAGTAGTAGTAGTAGTAGTAGTAGTAGTAGTAGTAGTAGTAGTAGTAGTAGTAGTAGTAGTAGTAGTAGTAGTAGTAGTAGTAGTAGTAGTAGTAGTAGTAGTAGTAGTAGTAGTAGTAGTAGTAGTAGTAGTAGTAGTAGTAGTAGTAGTAGTAGTAGTAGTAGTAGTAGTAGTAGTAGTAGTAGTAGTAGTAGTAGTAGTAGTAGTAGTAGTAGTAGTAGTAGTAGTAGTAGTAGTAGTAGTAGTAGTAGTAGTAGTAGTAGTAGTAGTAGTAGTAGTAGTAGTAGTAGTAGTAGTAGTAGTAGTAGTAGTAGTAGTAGTAGTAGTAGTAGTAGTAGTAGTAGTAGTAGTAGTAGTAGTAGTAGTAGTAGTAGTAGTAGTAGTAGTAGTAGTAGTAGTAGTAGTAGTAGTAGTAGTAGTAGTAGTAGTAGTAGTAGTAGTAGTAGTAGTAGTAGTAGTAGTAGTAGTAGTAGTAGTAGTAGTAGTAGTAGTAGTAGTAGTAGTAGTAGTAGTAGTAGTAGTAGTAGTAGTAGTAGTAGTAGTAGTAGTAGTAGTAGTAGTAGTAGTAGTAGTAGTAGTAGTAGTAGTAGTAGTAGTAGTAGTAGTAGTAGTAGTAGTAGTAGTAGTAGTAGTAGTAGTAGTAGTAGTAGTAGTAGTAGTAGTAGTAGTAGTAGTAGTAGTAGTAGTAGTAGTAGTAGTAGTAGTAGTAGTAGTAGTAGTAGTAGTAGTAGTAGTAGTAGTAGTAGTAGTAGTAGTAGTAGTAGTAGTAGTAGTAGTAGTAGTAGTAGTAGTAGTAGTAGTAGTAGTAGTAGTAGTAGTAGTAGTAGTAGTAGTAGTAGTAGTAGTAGTAGTAGTAGTAGTAGTAGTAGTAGTAGTAGTAGTAGTAGTAGTAGTAGTAGTAGTAGTAGTAGTAGTAGTAGTAGTAGTAGTAGTAGTAGTAGTAGTAGTAGTAGTAGTAGTAGTAGTAGTAGTAGTAGTAGTAGTAGTAGTAGTAGTAGTAGTAGTAGTAGTAGTAGTAGTAGTAGTAGTAGTAGTAGTAGTAGTAGTAGTAGTAGTAGTAGTAGTAGTAGTAGTAGTAGTAGTAGTAGTAGTAGTAGTAGTAGTAGTAGTAGTAGTAGTAGTAGTAGTAGTAGTAGTAGTAGTAGTAGTAGTAGTAGTAGTAGTAGTAGTAGTAGTAGTAGTAGTAGTAGTAGTAGTAGTAGTAGTAGTAGTAGTAGTAGTAGTAGTAGTAGTAGTAGTAGTAGTAGTAGTAGTAGTAGTAGTAGTAGTAGTAGTAGTAGTAGTAGTAGTAGTAGTAGTAGTAGTAGTAGTAGTAGTAGTAGTAGTAGTAGTAGTAGTAGTAGTAGTAGTAGTAGTAGTAGTAGTAGTAGTAGTAGTAGTAGTAGTAGTAGTAGTAGTAGTAGTAGTAGTAGTAGTAGTAGTAGTAGTAGTAGTAGTAGTAGTAGTAGTAGTAGTAGTAGTAGTAGTAGTAGTAGTAGTAGTAGTAGTAGTAGTAGTAGTAGTAGTAGTAGTAGTAGTAGTAGTAGTAGTAGTAGTAGTAGTAGTAGTAGTAGTAGTAGTAGTAGTAGTAGTAGTAGTAGTAGTAGTAGTAGTAGTAGTAGTAGTAGTAGTAGTAGTAGTAGTAGTAGTAGTAGTAGTAGTAGTAGTAGTAGTAGTAGTAGTAGTAGTAGTAGTAGTAGTGTAGTAGTAGTAGTGTAGTAGTAGTAGTAGTAGTAGTAGTAGTAGTAGTAGTAGTAGTAGTAGTAGTAGTAGTAGTAGTAGTAGTAGTAGTAGTAGTAGTAGTAGTAGTAGTAGTAGTAGTAGTAGTAGTAGTAGTAGTAGTAGTAGTAGTAGTAGTAGTAGTAGTAGTAGTAGTAGTAGTAGTAGTAGTAGTAGTAGTAGTAGTAGTAGTAGTAGTAGTAGTAGTAGTAGTAGTAGTAGTAGTAGTAGTAGTAGTAGTAGTAGTAGTAGTAGTAGTAGTAGTAGTAGTAGTAGTAGTAGTAGTAGTAGTAGTAGTAGTAGTAGTAGTAGTAGTAGTAGTAGTAGTAGTAGTAGTAGTAGTAGTAGTAGTAGTAGTAGTAGTAGTAGTAGTAGTAGTAGTAGTAGTAGTAGTAGTAGTAGTAGTAGTAGTAGTAGTAGTAGTAGTAGTAGTAGTAGTAGTAGTAGTAGTAGTAGTAGTAGTAGTAGTAGTAGTAGTAGTAGTAGTAGTAGTAGTAGTAGTAGTAGTAGTAGTAGTAGTAGTAGTAGTAGTAGTAGTAGTAGTAGTAGTAGTAGTAGTAGTAGTAGTAGTAGTAGTAGTAGTAGTAGTAGTAGTAGTAGTAGTAGTAGTAGTAGTAGTAGTAGTAGTAGTAGTAGTAGTAGTAGTAGTAGTAGTAGTAGTAGTAGTAGTAGTAGTAGTAGTAGTAGTAGTAGTAGTAGTAGTAGTAGTAGTAGTAGTAGTAGTAGTAGTAGTAGTAGTAGTAGTAGTAGTAGTAGTAGTAGTAGTAGTAGTAGTAGTAGTAGTAGTAGTAGTAGTAGTAGTAGTAGTAGTAGTAGTAGTAGTAGTAGTAGTAGTAGTAGTAGTAGTAGTAGTAGTAGTAGTAGTAGTAGTAGTAGTAGTAGTAGTAGTAGTAGTAGTAGTAGTAGTAGTAGTAGTAGTAGTAGTAGTAGTAGTAGTAGTAGTAGTAGTAGTAGTAGTAGTAGTAGTAGTAGTAGTAGTAGTAGTAGTAGTAGTAGTAGTAGTAGTAGTAGTAGTAGTAGTAGTAGTAGTAGTAGTAGTAGTAGTAGTAGTAGTAGTAGTAGTAGTAGTAGTAGTAGTAGTAGTAGTAGTAGTAGTAGTAGTAGTAGTAGTAGTAGTAGTAGTAGTAGTAGTAGTAGTAGTAGTAGTAGTAGTAGTAGTAGTAGTAGTAGTAGTAGTAGTAGTAGTAGTAGTAGTAGTAGTAGTAGTAGTAGTAGTAGTAGTAGTAGTAGTAGTAGTAGTAGTAGTAGTAGTAGTAGTAGTAGTAGTAGTAGTAGTAGTAGTAGTAGTAGTAGTAGTAGTAGTAGTAGTAGTAGTAGTAGTAGTAGTAGTAGTAGTAGTAGTAGTAGTAGTAGTAGTAGTAGTAGTAGTAGTAGTAGTAGTAGTAGTAGTAGTAGTAGTAGTAGTAGTAGTAGTAGTAGTAGTAGTAGTAGTAGTAGTAGTAGTAGTAGTAGTAGTAGTAGTAGTAGTAGTAGTAGTAGTAGTAGTAGTAGTAGTAGTAGTAGTAGTAGTAGTAGTAGTAGTAGTAGTAGTAGTAGTAGTAGTAGTAGTAGTAGTAGTAGTAGTAGTAGTAGTAGTAGTAGTAGTAGTAGTAGTAGTAGTAGTAGTAGTAGTAGTAGTAGTAGTAGTAGTAGTAGTAGTAGTAGTAGTAGTAGTAGTAGTAGTAGTAGTAGTAGTAGTAGTAGTAGTAGTAGTAGTAGTAGTAGTAGTAGTAGTAGTAGTAGTAGTAGTAGTAGTAGTAGTAGTAGTAGTAGTAGTAGTAGTAGTAGTAGTAGTAGTAGTAGTAGTAGTAGTAGTAGTAGTAGTAGTAGTAGTAGTAGTAGTAGTAGTAGTAGTAGTAGTAGTAGTAGTAGTAGTAGTAGTAGTAGTAGTAGTAGTAGTAGTAGTAGTAGTAGTAGTAGTAGTAGTAGTAGTAGTAGTAGTAGTAGTAGTAGTAGTAGTAGTAGTAGTAGTAGTAGTAGTAGTAGTAGTAGTAGTAGTAGTAGTAGTAGTAGTAGTAGTAGTAGTAGTAGTAGTAGTAGTAGTAGTAGTAGTAGTAGTAGTAGTAGTAGTAGTAGTAGTAGTAGTAGTAGTAGTAGTAGTAGTAGTAGTAGTAGTAGTAGTAGTAGTAGTAGTAGTAGTAGTAGTAGTAGTAGTAGTAGTAGTAGTAGTAGTAGTAGTAGTAGTAGTAGTAGTAGTAGTAGTAGTAGTAGTAGTAGTAGTAGTAGTAGTAGTAGTAGTAGTAGTAGTAGTAGTAGTAGTAGTAGTAGTAGTAGTAGTAGTAGTAGTAGTAGTAGTAGTAGTAGTAGTAGTAGTAGTAGTAGTAGTAGTAGTAGTAGTAGTAGTAGTAGTAGTAGTAGTAGTAGTAGTAGTAGTAGTAGTAGTAGTAGTAGTAGTAGTAGTAGTAGTAGTAGTAGTAGTAGTAGTAGTA